TTTTTTTTTATAACAGTGCTCAGCCCATAGCAGTGCTCAATTAGTTAGTGTTGCTTATTATTGTTATCGCTCTATTAATTCTGCTCGGCAGGACCTAGAGATGAATTAAAACACCTATGGCTTCGTAAGTGGGGAAACAGCAGCTCAGAGAGGTTAAGGGACTTGCTCAAAGTCTTAAAAATGAGTCAGAGGGCCACAGGAATCTACCGGCCATTCATTTATTGATTCATCCCATCCATTCAACAAATAATTACTGAGCACCTATTATGTGTTCTGCCCGTTCTAGGCACTGGCAATGGAAAGACAAGAAGTAATACCCTTCTGCGGCTGACATTTCAGCACTGAGGCCATGAGCCCCCCTCCACCCTTCCAACAATGGGCACCGACCTGTTACCAAAAGGTGGGGGTGCTCAGTAAATGCCTGTTAGTTGGACAGGATGCAGGTGGGTCCTTGCTGAGAGGTTATCTATTACACTTAATTTTTACCCGTATCTTCGTGCAAGTAGCACGAAGATTTGTCCTTCAAGTAGGACAAATTTGTCAAGTAGGACAAATCACTGCTTTGTAAGGAATAATCTGTAAGTTAACCTTTATTGAAGGCCAACTCGGTGCCAGACAGCGGGGGCTTTACAGAGGTTAACTTCGTTTAATTCTATAAACAAACCTGTATGGGAAATACTATCATCTCTCTTTTCTTTTACAGGTGAGGAAACTCAGACAACACATCACACGGCTGGCCAGTGGCAAAATTAGACTCAGAACCCAGGATTCCTGGACTCTGAACATCTGTTCTGCCAGAGTGGGTCTCGTGTTTTTTTAAACTTTGTCCCCAGCCACTAGGAGGGCCCTTCTTAGTCATGCCGAAAGCAGCCAGAGGGCCATCAACCCACAAAGCATCGAGGTCCATTATGTCCAAGAGAGTAGAGGGGACGTGGCTGTATAAGACAGGGTGCTTGCTGTCAGTTGCTTCCACTGCAGCTAGGCGGAAACATAACAAATGAGCACTGATTTCTCCGGGATTCTGCAGCTTGAAACCCCTGCCCACAGTCCCAGGTTGCTCAGCTCCCTTTCCTGCCGTTCTTACCGCACCTGCCCAGACTCAGGATTGGTCACGCTGTGTGGAGCGCCCTCTCTCCGTGGACCTGAAGTGCCTCCATGGCAGGGCTGAGATCTGACTTATCTCTGAGTTTCTGCACTTCATCGTTAGCCGTGCCCGGTCTTGACTCTTGGAGGGCTTGGAGGGCTCGGGGAGTGTGAGGAAATGAAGCAGCTTGGCAGGATGAGCTTGCCAGTTATCCTGGAGGCCAGATGTGAAGTCCTCTTGGACAGAGGGGGAGGCCGGTGATCAGAGGATCTAGGGGCCAGAGGTTTTTGGGGGAATCAGCCTTCACCGCCCTCAGGAGCTCATGGAGAGGACACTTGGGGAGCATCAGGAGCCTGTTCAAAACATGGGTTCTTGGAGTCCATCCTCCAGAGACTCTGCTCTGGGGGGCCAGATGGGTCTGTAAGCTTGCATGTGAACACGGGGCAGTTCAGAAGTTGGGTTCTGTATCAGTCCGCTGCGGCTGCCGTAAGAGACTACCACAGACTAGGCGGCTTAAACAGCAGAAATCTATTTTCTCGCAGTTCTGGAAGCTGGAAGTCCAAAATCAAGTTGCCAACGGGGTTGGTTTCTGGTGTGGCCTTTCTTCCCAGCCTGCAGGCAGCCGCCTTCTCAGTGTGTCCTACAAGGTCTCATCTCTGTGCACACATACCCTTGATGTCTTTTCCTTTTATAAGGACACCAGTATTATTGGATTAGGGCCTTGGTCTTATTACCTCATTTAACCTTTATTACCTCCTTAAAGGCCCTATCTCCAAGTAAGTCACATTGGGGGTTAGGACTTAGCATATGGATTTTGGCCGGCGGTGAGGGGAGTCACACACAATTCAGTCCATGGCAGGGTCCACAGACCTCACTTAGACATCACTGCTGGTGAGAGAGCCAGTCAATGGTTAGAGCCTGGGAGTGAGGTGGTCAGAATTTCGTTTCAGAGGAGGCTTGTGGACCATTTTGGTCTAGTGAGTTCTGCTGTCCTGTGCCCCCTCTGACCATTAAACTGAGTGTCCCTCTAAAGCAAAATGTTTCTCCTCTCAAGGCCTAAGGTGAAGCAGGTGGACCATCTATCTAAAGGCCCATATGGTGTAAAACTTTCTGATTCATCTACTCATTTGTTCATGGTTTGGTCTCCCCCCATCCCCCAGATTGATTGAGCACCTTCTGGACAGGGCACCGTAAGGCCTGGATGGGCAGACACACAGGCCTGAGGCCCTCAGGGGCAGGGGTGGGTGGGATGCCCAGGAGGATGAGTGGAGGAGGGACAGTCAGATTTGGGTGTCCGTCTCTTCTCTTGCCTGGACACTGCAGCTGTTTCCTGTAGGTTTCCCTGCTTGCCTTCTGGAATGCCACGGAGGCACCAGAGTCATCTTTAGGCAAAGTAAACCCAGCAATGCCACACCCATGCTTATAGTTTTCCAATGGTTTTCACTGCACGCGGAATAAAATCCAAACGCCATGCCGTCAAGGCCATCTGTGGCCATCTGACCACCTCTTGCTTTCATTTCAATGGTCGCGCTTTTCCCCTTGCCCAATGCCCTCCAGCGAGCCTGGCCTTTTGTTCCCACACAGGCCTCTGCCCTCCAGTGTCCAACACCCAGACCTCCCTGCATCACCCCCACAACCTCCCGTGGATGGCTGCTTCACCTGCACAGAGGCCTTCCTCCTCCTCCACTCAAGGATTCGCCCTTACCCTCCGAGACTCACTCCTTCACGCCCTCCTGTTCTTGATTCTGAAATTTTACTTTTTAAAAGATTTTTAAGTAATCTCTGCACCCAACATGGGACTTGAACTTACAACCCCAAGATCAAGAGTTGCGTGCTCTACCAACTGAACCAGCCAGGCGCCCCTTGATTCTGAAATTTTAAATTTATTGTCTCTCTCACCTAGAACATAAGCTCCATGAGGCTAGGGGCCTTGTCTTTTCATTCTGTTATACCCCTGTATCGGTTTCCTATGCCTACAGTAACAAAGTACCACAGACTGGGTGGCTTAAACAACACAAATGTGTTTTCTCAGTTCCGGAGGTTAGAAGTTATATATCAATGGGTCACCTGGGTGGCTCAGTTGGTTAAGGGTCCGACTTCAACTCCGCTCATGATCTCACGGTTCACAAGTTTGAGCCCTGCATCAGGCTCTGTGCTGACAGTTCAGGGCCTGGAGCCTGCTTCAGATTCTGTCTGTCTGTCTCTCTCTGACCCTCCCCTGCTCATGCTCTATCTCTCAAAAGTAAATAAGCGTTAAAAAAAAAATTTTTTTTAAAGAAATACATCAAGGAGTTGGTAGGGTTGGTTCCTTCTGAGGGGCAGGAGAGAAGGATCTGCTCCAGGCCTCTCTCTTTAGCTTGTGGGTGACCATCTTCTCCTCACGTCTTCACATCACTTTCCCTCCGTACAAATCCGAGTACAAATTTGCTGTTCTTAATAAGCACACTAGTCACACTGAATAAGGACCCACCTGAATGGCCTCATTTTAACTTAATCACCTCAGTAAAGACCTTATCTCCAAATATGATTACATTCTGAGGTTCTGCGGGTTAGAACTTCAATATGAGAAGGGAGGGGGGCAGAGGGACACAATTAAGCCCATAATAACCCCTACTAGCTAGAATATGTTGGACATAGAGTAAAAACTCAATAGAAACGTGTTGGCTGACTGGCTGTGGCTGCAGCTTGGGGAATGGCCTGAAGAGGGTGCCTGGAAGAAGCCACCAGTTAGGAAGCCCGGCAAACATTACAGGCACGAGTGGGTGAAGACATGCACTTGTCAAATACGTATGAGCACTCCCCGTGCCA